ATTCTGATTCATATATATATATATATATATATATATATGTATCCATATGCATATAATGTAGATTGCAAGTTAAATTAGGAGTGAACTAAATATTGCTAAATATTATTTTCTCATAGTGTTAACAGTGTTCTGTTGTAACTTATTTACACTAGCTGGATGGAAATCAATTAAAAGTAAATAATGCCCAATTCCCCAACCAAAGGGAACACTAATAACCATAATTATGACTATGTACACTTCATAACTATTTACACTATTGTCCCACAGTGCAGTGCAATATGTTAACTTTTGATAAGTAATTATGACAGAAAATTATCTATAGCTTTGATTTCACATTATAGATATTGCTGTTAAATATTGTAAAATCATAGTAAATGCAGTGCCTCTCTTTGTGAACTAAGCTTTATTTGCTGAATAATTGGGATCTTTCAGACAACAGCTTTTTGCATGTCCTTTTCACTTGGGATTGTGTGATGAAGCCTGCATCTATTTGTGAATCAGTGATCGAAGCATTTGCACACAGTACCTGAGCTTTGTTTTTTAGAGAAAAAAACATAAGTCCCGTATAAGTCACATTTTATTATTTCATTCAGAAATAGGGCTAATACCGATGCGAAACGTTTACAAACATAATAATAGTAAATGTAAACATAGCTAGGCTATTTTAGTTCCCCTCACTCCACAACAAAACCTTTCAATTAACAGTATTTAGAAAAGAACAAGAATTAAAAATATAAGAAGCTATAGCAATAATCTATCTATCTGTCTGTCTGATCACAAATAATCACACACCTGTATCAATAACATTTTTAAGAAAAGCCCCCAAATTAAGATTACAGAAAGACATTATTGTGTCACATGAGTAAATAAATGAGAGAGAGAAAAAAACACACAATTACAGAACGTTTCTAAAGAGGTCAATATATTTTGTTTGTTTATTCCTATATCATTGTGCCAATTAATTTCATATTATATGAATATGGTACTATGGTATACAGAAAGTATCAAAGTACCATGGTATTGTCATCTGCTAACAGTACAATGAAAAAAAAAACCTGTGAAATTTACGGTGAAAAAACTAT